GGGGGGGGGGGGGGGGTGGGGGGGGGGGGGGGGGGTGGGGGGGGGGGCGGGGGGGTACGGGGGGGTGCCGAGGGGTACCGGGGGGTGCCGGGGGTGCTGGAGGGTGCCGGGGCCCCTCCCGGCGGGGCGGGGCGTGCGCGGCCGCACGTCCGGAGCGGGGCGGGACGAGCCCGGGCCGGCCCCGCGCGGCACCGGCAGAGCGCGGTGGGGCTCGGGGCGGTGCGGAGCCGTGCGGTGCCGCTGCGATCGGCCCGGCTCGGCTCGGCCCGGCTCCGCTCCGTTTCGCTCCCTTCGGCTCGGTTCCGTTCGCTTCGGCGCGCATCAGCTCGGCTCGACGTGGTTCAGAGCGGATCGGCTCGGAGCGGATCGGCTCGGATCGAAGCGGATCGGCTCGGAGCGGATCGGCTCGGATCGAAGCGGATCGGCTCGGACTAGAGCTCGGCACAGCTGAGCTCGGCACAGCCCCGCAGGTTTGGGCACAGCCCGCAGGGCGCGCTTGGCGGCGGGGATGGCGGTGCCGGAGCCGGACGCGCGGCTGGCGCAGGAGAAGGAGGAGGAGAGCGAGGAGGAGAGCGAGGTGCTGGAGGAGAGTCCCTGCGGCCGCTGGCAGAAGCGCCGCGAGCAGGTGGGAGCCGGGCGCGGCAGGAGGGAATGCCGGAGGGCGGCCATGGGAATGCGGGCAGGGGAAGGCCGGGAGATGGGATGTAGATGCCGGGGAATGGGGATGGGGCCGCCGCCGCCGGGCCCTGCGGGGCTCCGGGCTCTGCGGGGCCCCCAGCGCGACCCTTCGCCCTTCGCGGGGGCCGGAGCTCCCGCAGGTGCCCAGGGCATGGCGGGGACCGCGGCTGGAGGGCGATGCAGGGAGCGGCTCCGCGGGGAGCGAGTCCCCGGAGAGCCCGGTGCGGGGAGCCCGGTGCGGAGAGCTCGGTGCGGGAAGCCCGGTGCGGGGAGCGAGTCCATGGAGAGCCCGGTGTGGGGAGCCCGGTGCGGGGAGCGAGTCCATGGAGAGCTCGGTGCGGGGAGCCCGGTGCGGAGAGCTCGGTGCGGGGAGCCCGGTGCGGAGAGCTCGGTGCGGGAAGCCCGGTGCGGGGAGCGAGTCCCCGGAGAGCCCGGTGCGGGGAGCCCGGTGCGGGGAGCGAGTCCCTGGAGAGCCCGGTGCGGGGAGCCCGGTGCGGGGAGCCCCGGAGAGCCCGGTGCGGGGAGCGAATCCCCGAAGAGCCCGGTGCGGGGAGCCCGGTGCGGAGAGCTCGGTGCGGGAAGCCCGGTGCGGGGAGCGAGTCCCCGGAGAGCCCGGTGCGGGGAGCCCGGTGCGGGGAGCCCCGGGGAGCCAGGCTCGCCATGCCACAGCGCTTGGTGTGCCGGTGCGGAAAGCCAGGCTCGCCTTGTCTCGGTGCGGGCTGTGCCGGTGCGGGAGCCTGTGCGGGGACCGGGATCACCGTGCCCGTGTGCGGGGAGCCGATCTCATCGTGCCCCGGTGCGGCTGCTGGTGGGGGCTGCTCCGTGCAAAGGAGCCGCGTTTCACCGTGCCCTGCTCGGGGGCGTCTGGAGCAGCGGGCCGGGCTCATCGTGTCCCGGTGCAGGGTGCCAGGAGCCGGAACCCGGGCTCGTTGTGCCCCGTTGGGAGGGCCCGGGAGCGGGGCTCGCCGTGCCCCGGGGTGGGAAGCCCAGGTGTGGAGAGCCGGGCCGTGCCCCGGGGCTCAGTCCCGGGCCCGTCCCAAGGGCAGGGCTCCGATGCCCGCGGGACCAGCCGTGCTGCGGCTGCCGGGGGCTCCTGGAGGGTTTTGCTGGTCTGGATCCCTGAGCCGTGCCCGGTGACAGCGACACGGGTCGCAGAAAGGTGACCCCGGGGCGCTGGCCCGGAGCTCCTGCGGGAGCGGGGTCAATGTTGGGGTGTCGGGGCTGCCCTCACAGGGCACCCCCAGCGCTGGAGAGCCGGTTCCTCCCCTCCAGAGAACCGGGTTAGTCCACTTCAGCTCGTCTTCCTGTGCCAGAGCGCAGCATCAGGACTGTCTCCCCCAAAATGGGGCTGGAGTCACCCCGTGTCTGTCAGGACACCCAGGAACAGGGAGCAGAGCCGGAGGCTGAATCCTGACGGAGGGAGAGACGCCACAGGCGCTGCCGGCGTCTGAAGGGGAAAAGGCCCATCCAAGGCCAAATGTTTACGTGGCCCTTATCTCTCCCCTCTCCCCGGTGAAGAACCCGGCCCCTGCCTTCAGCTCTGCCTGCGGCTGCATCTCCCAGTCTGAATTCCCGGTCTGGGCTCTGCTGAGATCTCGATAACCTGCTCCTGACTGATACCGTGCCCCTGGCTGATCATCTGCTCCTGCCAGCGCCGTCAGCACCTGCTCTTCTGTCCCTCGGTGCTGCCAGGTGCTTCCACACATCCCCCTTCCCCCGGTCCTGCTCCCTCCCCCTCTCTGGAAGACTCGTGCCCCACACTAGACCTGACCCTGACCCTCATGGAGAGGAGGACATTGAGGAGCTGGAGCATTTCCAGAGACAGGAATGGAGCTGGGAAGGGGCTGGAGCCCCAGGAGGGGCTGAGGGAGCTGGGAAGGGGCTCAGCCTGGAGCAAAGGAGGCTCAGGGGGAATTTCTGGCTCTGCACAAGTCCCTGGCAGGAGGGGACAGCCGGGGGGGTCGGGCTCTGCTGCCAGGGAACAGGGACAGGAGGAGAGGGAACGGCCTCAGGCTGGGACAGGGGAGATTTAGGTGGGAGATTTGGAAAATTCCTTCCGTGTGTTCTGGCCAAACAGCGATGTTTAATCATGAGGATTTCAATGCTAATTTTGTGCAGGAGCTTTCTGGAGCCTGAATCTGGCCCAGGGGGTTCGTCCTCCTGTGCAGGCGTGGGGGAAGTGGAAACCCTCCGGTGCCATCTCCACGCGAGTGCTTTGGGTCACCGTCCCTGTGCCGTGCTCTCCCTCCACAGGGATTTTCTAGCTGGAGCGGTGGGAAGGGTGGGTTGGCCTTTCCAAGGGCAGGACAGCTGTTCCAGGAGAGCCGGAGCGGCAGGAAGGCTCCCTGATTGCCAAGTGGAGGAAGTTTTGTGGAGGAGCTGTGTTTGTGCGAATTCACAGATGCTTCATGACGTGCAGGAAGGAGCCGAGCGCTGGCGATCCGCTCTCCTCTGCCCGCAGCACTCCTGGCATTTGTGCCCGCAGGGAGCTTCCCTCACTCCCCTGAAGGTTGATTGTAATTATTTCTTTCCCTAATGTGGTTTTGTCAGGAGCCAGGGCCTGTGTGGGACCTGCAGAGCTGTGCCCGGTCTCTGGTCTGGAGAGCAGGGCCAGCAGGGTGGCAGAGCTGGGAGCCCGGAATGCTGATGGAGCACAGGCAGCTCTCCTGCCTGGCCCGGGGTGCTCAGCAGCGGCTCAGCCTGCAGAAAAGGAGGCTCAGGAGGGACCTTCTCACTCTTCACAACTCCCTGACAGGAGGGGGCAGCCAGGTGGGGCTCTGCTCCCAGGGAACAGGGACAGGGGCAAACAGCCTCGAGGTGTGCCAGGGGAGGTTTAGGTGGGATATTGGGAAAATTCCTCCTGGAAAGGGCTGGCAGGGCAGAGGTGGAACCCCACCCTGGGGGAGATTTAACATCCCTATGGGTGTGGTGCCTGGGGACATGGGCTAGTGGTGGCCTTGGCAGCGCTGGGGATGCACTGAGGGGGCTCAGAGGCTTTTCCAGCCCAAACCATCCCGTGGTCCCATGGTTCTGTAGACTGAAAGGCACTGCGAGATGTTAAGGTGAATTAATGATGTGGACACAAGGACTGCACCTTGTTTTCACACCCAGGGCTGTGCTGGGCCTGCCCTGCCCCCCGGGAACAATCTCCCTTCCCAGCCTCCTCGGCCTATTTATGATCCCTTATTCCTCAGGGTGTGGAGAGTGCCACGAGCAGTTCAGGGAATAGAAGCAGTTCAGGGAATAGAAGCAGTTCAGGGAATAGGAGCAGTTCAGGGAATAGGAGCACTCGGACAAGGTGTGAGGAGCAGCAGCTCCGTGGCCCTGCAGTGTCACAGCCCCAGCCCTGCCCTGCCCCTCTCAGAGCTCTCCTGTTGTTTGTGAACTTCTGCTGGCACAGAATTTTCCACGTGGGAACACCGGGGCTTTTTCAGCCTTGCTTTGATGACCTCATTTGCTTTTCCCACCCACCCAGGGGAGTATGAGCAGAAGGGAGAAGAAACTTGGTTTTCTGCTTTTGTGGAAAGTTTTGCACCTTTGCTGTGGGTGAGCCCCAGCACCAGTGCTGGGATCAATCTGGTTTATCCCTGCTGGTTTGCGTTCCCAAACCCTCAATCTGCCCAGAAAGGGGGGCTGTGACCTGCAGGGATTTGCTGCTCACGAGTGCCGGTCCCACCACGTTCATCTGTCACATTTCCCGGGTTCAGGTTGTGATTTCCACACGCTCCTCCTCACCTGTCCCACCTGTCCTGCCCATTGTGCTCCCTGTGGGAATGCTGCAGCGTGCTCTGGGTTCCTGAAGGCCTTCCCTTGGGATGAGAGTGGTGAGTGCTGGGGCAGAGCTCAGCTCCGGTTCACGGATGGAACTTTGGAGCTGCTCCTATAATTTATTCCTCTAAGCCACCCTGGAGCTGTCCCTTGCTCGTAATTCTGCTCCCAATGTGGGATTTGCTTTGGAGCACCCTGGGAGTTCAGTGAGGGAAGGGATGGGGCATCCAGAGGGACCTGGACAGGCTGGGGAGGTGGGAACCTTGCGCTCAGGCTCCAGCACAAACACAGGATGGGGGCTCTGCCTGGAGGAATCCCTGGGGAGAGGACCTGGGGGTGCTGGGAAAGGCTGGACGTGCCCAGGCCACGTGCACTGGGATCCCAAAACCTCCTGTGCCCTGGGCTGATCCCCCAGCGTGGGCAGCAGGGGAGGGGGATTCTGCCCCTGTGCCCAGCTGAGACCCCACCTGCAGAGCTGCCCCAGCCCTGGGGAACAGCAGCACAAGGAGCTGGAGCTGCTGGAGAGAGCCCAGAGGAGGCCCCGGAGCTGCTCCGGGGCTGGAGCCCCTCTGGAGCCAGGCTGGGAGAGCAGGGGGTGCTCACCTGGAGAAGAGAAGCTCCAGGGAGAGCTCAGAGCTCCTTCCAGGGCCTGAAGGGGCTCCAGGAGAGCTGGGAATGTTCCCCTGGAGAGGAGAAGGATCCAGGGAGAGCTCAGAGCCCTTCCAGGGCCTGAAGGGGCTCCAGGAGAGCTGGGAATGTTCCCCTGGAGAGGAGAAGGATCCAGGGAGAGCTCAGAGCTCCTTCCAGGGCCTGAAGGGGCTCCAGGAGAGCTGGGAATGTTCCCCTGGAGAGGAGAAGGATCCAGGGAGAGCTCAGAGCCCTTCCAGGGCCTGAAGGGGCTCCAGGAGAGCTGGAGAGGGACTGTGGACAAGGCACGGAGGGACAGGAGCCAGGGAATGGCTCCCAGTGGCAGAGGGCAGGGCTGGATGGGATCTTGGGCAGGAATTGTTCCCTGTGGGGGTGGGCAGGCCCTGGCACAGGTGCCCAGAGCAGCTGTGGCTGCCCCTGGATCCCTGGAAGTTTTCCAGGCCAGGTTGGACACTGGGGCTTGGAGCAGCCTGGTCCCATGGAAGGTGTCCCTGCCCATGGCACAGGGTGGGACTGGGGGTCTTGTAGATC